CCATGAGAGAGATACCACTTCAGCAAAGGTGCGTATATGAGAATCTTTTCACCAAAGTAGCTACCTATCAGCTTACGAGCTGGTTTTGCTCGGCTTTGCTTACGTGCCTCGTTGTACTTGTACATGTGATGACCAATGACACTCTCATCAGCACAATCGATTAGCGTGTTCTTGAAGATTGGGGTCATCTCTGAGAAGTAGTCTTTTAAGTGCTCTGGTGTGCGAATATCACACTCGAGGAAGCCGAAAATTTTATTAGAAACGATGTCCTCGACAATGCCGTCATAAGCCTCGATCGTAGTCAATCGTCCGCATGGCATCTCATTACCAAGTGCCCATAGGTATAGAGCGTTGGCATCGTATCCGATAATTTTCTTACAGAGCTTACCTCCACGAATCTTCGTCTCGTTGCGCTTAGCGTAGCGATTAAAGATAATAGATGGACCTCCAGCAATGTTGGCCTTCATCTTAGCGTAGATGCACTTTTCCTCCTTATCAATGCTATACACCAATCTGTCCGAGTTGAACTCAAGCAACTTCTTGTAGCGGAATCCCTTGAGCGACATGTCCTTACGGGCGGTGTTGCACTTGATACAGCTAACCAATACGTTGCCATCGATGTGTCCAAGCTTGTTGTTGATACGGTCTGCTGAAGCAGTATCGACGGTCAGCGGGCAGTAGCATAAACCACACAGATACTTTTGCTTTTGCAGCAATGTATTCAAGTGAGCAAGTGTCATACCAAATTCCCGCTTTGCCTTAGCATCCTGACTCTTGTAGCCACCCATACGCTGGGGTGAAAATTGGAATGCGTTAGCAGCTGTCTTATCCGGATATCGGAGACTGTTAAAGCAGGTCTGATACATAACTTTTTCACTAAGTCCTGGTAAGGACACACCATCAGCGAACATGTCCAGATCGAAACGCATGAATAGCTCGCGCTGGGCTTTAATAGCCTTGATGAATGGGACTACATCGAGATTGTTGTACCAGACCAGTAGGTCCTTGATGGATTTCATCTCATAGTACTTCCACACGAACTTCACTCGCTCGTATTCATCATCGCTGATGCTTGTTCCACGGAGCTTGCTGTCAAAAGCTGACTTAGGCGGAATAGTAGTCTGGTTGAGTACATTGAACGCGGTGATATACTCATACGGGAAAAGACCCTTGCCAAGACCACAGACACATCTAATTTTGTCATCACATTTGCAGCCACCGAGATATGTCGTAAGATACTTATCGTAGCTGGTACCAGCCGGTACATAGTTGCTAATATCGAGCATTTTCATGTTCGATGTAGCAATGCACATGTAGCTGGGGTTCTTGATAACAGATTTGATGTTGTCAGTACCAATGACGGCGAATAAGTCGCTCCTGATCAAGTTGATATCGTATCGACCCGAATTGAAGCCGATCAATCTGCTGTTTTAGTTTCCCGTAATCAGATCTTAGCTTACCAAAGCCTAGACTGCTATGAAAGTCAAAGAAACTGGCATACTTTCCTTGTTGGATCCAACCCTCGACATCAGACATCTTGTAGGTCTTACCAAGATTGACGCCTGGAACTTCCATACCTGTCAGACCGTGGGCATTGATGATTTTTTGCAGAAGCGACTTATACTTATCGACATTGTATCTTTGGATATTTTCACCAATAGCGCTGATGTAGTTGAACATATCCTTTAGCAAAGCCTTTGGATCATCGTTCACGAAGCAACGAACCTCCTCCGTTAAGCTATCGGCTACTGACACCGACACCGGAATGTGCTCGCTTGTGAAGACAGTATTTTCCCCGTGCTTAGTAGCCGTAGGCTTGAGAATAGCCTCAAAGTCGTAGACGATGAAGTGATCAATGTACTGGTCAGTACCCTTGATAGAATACTTCGTGAGTAGGGAGCCAATGGTATTCTGAGCAGGGCGATAAATCGTTGGGGTAGCTGGGAATGATTCGACATTGACAAGCTCACACTTATTTTTGGTATGGTTCTTAAGCTTCTCAGAACTAACAAAGATCATATCACACTTCGCACACTGATATTTACGCTGAAGCACGTCCAGGTTCTTAATGTATTGAGCATAATTATCGTGCGAAAGGATGTTGATCGAATCGTAGTCCATGTCGGATCGACGAATGCAGTCAACCTTTCCAGAGTCAATATCCATAGTATAGACATTGATACTTAGTTTGAAGCACTCCTCAAGCTCGTCAAACTGTAGAATATCAATAGGCTTGAAGCTTCGATACAGACCGAGGGTGTAGGTAATATCCTTGAATGCACAGTATTGTTGGAAAGCCTGCTTCACCAACGACTGAATCTTCCGTGGATCCTTTTTGGGATCATTATGCTTGTGGAAAGCGATACAGTGAAAGACACATTTGTTGTTCGTCTTAGGGAAGTTAATAACACTTTTATTATCTCGAATAATCTTCGGGATAACTACTTCACTATCTCCCAAGGCGTGCTCGCGATGATATAGAAAAATCTTGAACCCAGTGATAGCCTTGAGCTGATACCCAGAGCTGGGGTAGTTCAGCTTGTCAGCCATCTCCATAGATCGAATCTCAGAAATAACCTTACGAATGTCGCTCCTGCTGTTGATGGCAACAGGTTTGTCGAATACAGAGGTATTGCTGAGATTTGGGTGGAAGTATCTCGTGTCTGAATCATCGGTTTTGCTAACAAGATCGTACCCGAGGGCAACATTTACCTTATAAGCACTTTTCTGACTCTCAAGAACGTTCTCGAGCTTGTCGTAGAACTCACCAGGTTCGATCCCCTCATATAGGTGGGATTCCGTGTGGTTGCCCTTGTAAAAGCGATAGTGAGGATCAGCCTTATAGTCCGAAGACAAGTGCTTCTCCAGCTTATTGAGGCTGATCTTGTACTGCTTAGCCACCAGCTTGAGGTTGCTGGGGCGCGATAGGTTGCTAACATAGACCATCTTACCAGTCTCTCCGCGAACCTTCACCCGGTAGCTACTACCCCATTTAATTGCTCGAATATTTAATCTTTTTAGTCCTTCAAGCTCGTATGCGAACATGCCCGTTATAAATTTACAGCTATATTATCGGTGTGATGACTTTATAATATTGAGATCTTGTATCAGGAACGACTTTATATCACTGGCGACTTTTTTCATCTCAAAAAAAAAATTAATTAGCTAAGTTCGGTTTCAGTGCTAAGTTCGGTTTCAGTGCTAAGTTCGTTGTCGCTTTGATTAAGTTCGTTTTTTGGCTTTCGCTTGCGAGCACGAATTTGCTCTCGATTGTTATCGTCGTAGCTCTATTGCGCGCTTCGCGTGTGCGCTGGTAGTAGCGCTTCTGCGCTGCGTTAATGCGCTCCTTGTTAGCTTGGTATTGCTCAGGTGAGTATGCCGCCATCTTTGTATATTATTCACTTTATATTTATCAGAATGAAAAATAATTTCAAGCTGGCGCAGCCCAGCATTTTTCTGAATTAGATTGCTTTACCAAGACAGGTAGGCGCGGATAATATGTTTTAAAGAGAATCTACCACGTTCAATTTTTCCAGATATTGTTCTGTCGGATTAATAAGCTTTTCTTTAACAGTGGCCGTTTGAAGAGAACCTTTATTTGTGTTATCAACTAACAATAGGCAATTTTTCTTCTTCAGCACTGCGTTCAAATTTCCCAGATACGTTGAAAGCAGCGAAACGATAGAGCCCGCGCCTATCGTGGTTCGATGATGTGGCGGGGGCGGTGGTCGCCAAACACCTTCCCCGTATTCTTCCGCAATTTCAGGTATGATTTGTACGCGCCAACGAGACTATCTGGCACACCCTTCTCAAGTACCGATTTCTTGGTATGTCCATAGTTTTTCCAACGCTGGAACACCTTATCCCGGTAATTCACATCCCTTCCCATCTTAAGCACCTTCAGTGCACCGAACAAATTCTCCCCGCTAACCCTCTCTTCATCGTCGTGCTTGGTAATTTTGCCTTCGTCACCCGTCGTCTGGTGGCTTCGAAGGAATCTCTTGTCCTCGCCAGAGAGAACACGCGAGGAGTGAACAACGTCCACGTTCAACACACTGGCCTGATCGGCATATGACACTGCTGTGCCACTTGCAAGGAGGACGGTCGCAAGAACCACAAGGTTCATGTTGAAGAGACGCATGGCTGGCAGGGTCTTGAGGCCGGAGGGAAATTGCGGAATGAGAAATGCGGCAGTTGTAGTACAACTTGTACGTTGCCCTCTCGAGTGTCTCATGAGATTACTGTGGCTTACAGTAATCTCTGGTCTCTTTTGTACGCACCAGAAGGTGCAAGTGGATTCGGAGCAGCAGCAGGAGCATGTCCGTATATGTATTACAGCCCCCACCCTTTTGTTTTCCCCCTTCAAGTTTCTGGAGCTATCCTAAATATTACATGTAGGTTTGTGAGTGCGGACAGGATGCACTACGGAGAGAGGATAGATCATCGAGGCAACTGTGAAGTGACCAACACGTATTGACTTCGAGCATATTTGTTAAGAGTTCTACAGTTCAGTAGGTTGAGGGTGTCGGCAAAAACGTTCCAGGATTTTCCTCACTGGCAAATTACGGGAAGAAAAAAAAACTCTCAGCGTAATAAGCTGCGCTTAAAGAAGGTTAGCATTTTTTTTCCTTCGAGTGATTACTCTTTTGCGCGTAATCCCAACGATGCTATGTGCGGTGCTTGGAGGTGTGGAGGAGACCTCCTTCGCACCAGATGCTACTTAGCGGTGTTGTAGTCAATTTCAACAGCTGGTGGTCAGGAAGCGCTAAATCTACTCTCGTTGGTAAATTACGGGAAGAAAAAAAACTGGCGGCGTAATGTTCCGGATATTACTACTCTGGTGAGCGTCGGCAGTGGGGGCGAGCATCGCCATACTGGATAGGGCCGAAGCCACGGCGAGGGTCGACGCGAAAGAAGAGACCATTGGAAGACGAAGGTGTCGGAAGTTGGCGGTCGGACGGCAAAAGCGAGAGTGATACGGTAGAGTAGCGAGGACAGGAGAAAGCGCTTCGCTTGCTTGATGCAACAAAGCTGTGCAGCATCGACGGAATTTCTCGGTGGGGTCGACTAGCGTTCGCCTTGTTTTTCCATTGATTCGGAACTGGGATTGGCACGACACGCTTTTCGGAGTTAGAGTGCCGATGTGCACACTGTACACATGCGATAACCGGAAATTGAGTCCAAAAATGTAGTAGTAAGTGACTTTATTTGGTCTTGGCCATTAAAATCCTGGTGGTGGTCTTACTGTTTCTTTTTCTTCTACTGAACTTCGATCTCAAGTTGGGGTGGTGGCGGCGAACAAGCTAATAAGTTGGGCTGTGTCGGCAGCCGCATTGGTGAGATTCGGCTTTGAGAGACTTGAGGTAGAGTGCTCAGTTTAGTAATTTTGATAAATACATCTGGGCGTCTGGTGGATGAGATCGTGGGCTCGAGCGACGAAAGTGATGGCAGCAGAATGGAGATTGAAGACGCTGGCGTAGAGATGGAGATGGTCAGAGGCATTGGGGACGGTGGCATCATTGAGAAGGCTGAGGCTGTGGTCATCGCTTCCTCCGAGCACGAGTGGCAAGACGAGGACTTTGAAGATGGAACTTGTCTCTTGTCAGACTGCACCAACACGGCTCAAGCGAACGGCTTCTGCTACGCTCACGGCGGATATCAGGTGTGCTATGCTCTTGGTTGTAACCGGAGGGCTGCTGTACGAGCTTTTCATCGCAAACGCGCCGTATCCAGCGACACGAATGATCTGCACACTGCTGAATACGACGGTAATGGAAAGAGCGCGAAGAACCAAAAGGTGTGGGTCCAACTCGACTACTGCGATAAGCACTTGGATGAAGAGGAACTGGATGGAGATCACGCAGCCGAAGCATCGAGTCAAGCGCAGCCGCATGAGACCATCCGCGCTACCGATCGTCGTTATCGTCGCCACAGCGTGTGCAAGTGGCTTGGGTGTATGAAGTGGGTGATGAGAGATGGAGACCCGAGCGAGTACTGCGTCCTTCACCGAGCCCAAGACGGCAGCTCAGTGATCTCGAGAGGAAGTAGCGTGGCATCATTCACCCACTCCGAGGACGAGTCGAGTGTTGAGCAAGTGGAGGCCACGGAATTCAATGGCGAAAAGGACGTCCAGCGCGACTACAAAAGCCCCGTCCTCTGCAAAGAACCAGGATGCAGCAAGCAGGGATCTGTCTACGGAGACAAGAGGGGCTACTGCTTTTAACACGGCGGTGGCGTCACCTGCATCGTACCAGGATGCCCCAAGCGGCGTCAATTGAAGGGGCTATGCCGAGAGCAAGCTTTGCGTTTGTTCCTGCCGCCGACAGAAGCACCCCCACCACCACTCTTCCCCCTTGATACTTTTCTGTAGGTAGACCCGGAAAGAACGTATCTTCAGCGAAACAAACATTGCAGTGTAGTCTCAGGTGCTCGACCATAGCCTTCTTCATTGCAGCAGTGTAAAATGGTAGGGCCCGCGTCGTTTTCCACCTGCCTCGACCTCCAGACAGGCGAGGGTGACTTGGTGGCGCCCACGCCGTTGCAGAAATGATCGCGCGCTGAGCGGCCGAGAGTGCAAAAATTACTGGCTTGAAACTGGTGTATCCCTCAACAAGTCAAGCCCTGTCAATCTGAAGACACAATTGTGATTGGCTAATACTATCCTGTATCCCATACGTGGGTGTATCCCTCTACAAAACAAATTCGGTAACCAGCTCCTGGGGTTAACGTTGGACAAGCACTGCCGAATGGCCAGGTTGCTCTCTACCTTGAGCTCAGCTTCGCACGGGGACAAGGGACATTGGTCACAGTGGATGAGTCCAAAAATGTAATGGCTCGCTAACAACGAACTGTAATGTATAGTGTACATTATGCTTTGCGCGTGCCATGCAAATCTTGCTGCCGTCGTAGCTGTACAGTACGTAATGGTCTTGCGAGCGTTGCAATGGACGACTGCACATTCCCACTCAAAATACGCAGAGCGGTTACCCGCCAGGTGGTGGGCATTGACTTGGTTCGAGCGGATGTCTGCCCTTGGCCAGCAATGACACAGCAATGGGCCGCTGCAGTGTACATGTATGCAGCAGTGTTTTGTGTGAGAGCGACATCAATATACATGTACATTCTCCCAATCGTAGCCAATATGATGCACACTTGGGAGGTGATATCGACAGCGGGGCCACGTTAAATTCCTATATTAGCCGTACAAAAACCAAAAACGGGCTGCTGGTACAGAAGTATGCTCTTGGGATCGATTTGCATATTTTGACAAGCGTTGGTACTTTTTAGCATACATGTAGTTCGTATGGGCTTCCTGTTTGGAGCCCCAGACAAGAACTGCTTCGCGAGCGTACTGCACTGTCGATAGCTCCACCAGCTCTGAAGGCAAGTCGACCACAACAGTGCAATACTTGTACTCACTGTCATAAGCTGCATACTAAGACGTAAGCACGATTTTAGATCCGCTTAGGTTGTCATCGATTCCCTTTGGAAGATCATCGATCCGCTTCGGTAGTGTCATCGATCCGCTTGGGTAAATCATCGATCCGCTTGGGTATATCATCGATCAGTTTGGTTAGATCATCAATCTGCTTGGGTAGATCATGCATCCGCATTATCAATAGAGTGTCATGCATTTGGTTGGCCTCTCATGAGCCTGCAGTCGCCACTATTTTGTCTTTTTTTCTACATGTATCGCAAGGTATTTTACAGCTGACGATAATGATCATGAATATGGGTTTCGCATGTACTTCTACCTAGCTTTCACGCCTATACTGAGGTCTACCGATATCATTCTTGCGTGCATATATTAGTGTACCGAAACGCATGCCTAAGTGTGAATGACTGCCGGTGGAACTTACTGGTGAGACTTAGTAAAACAAGACACAACCGACCACTGCTCATAGCGAAGACTCAAGCCAGCTCCCCGCATACTTACACCCCAGATAGCTAGCTACAGGTAGGCTACCTACATGTATGGAAGCCGTTCATTGTACGTTAGTATTGTACCAACGTTTGTCAGTACTGCTGCGCCTGTCCTCGCTCCCCGCTGCAGTTAGCGGGAAGCCCGCTGTCGATATCACCTCCCTGCACACTTGTGGTCAATTCCTCGATGCAGTATGTTGTAGCTGAAAAGGTCGATTACTGCAAGGAAGATCGCAGAAAGGTCTGCATCATCATGCACTTGTTGCTCTTTCGGGCTCCTTTTGATCCGTGCTAAGCAAAGCGGACATCAGTGCGTGGAGTCGGAAGCTACTAAATAGTCTCGCATTAAATGCGCTTACGGTATGGTGTCCGCTTAACGTGGCCGCTAGTGGACCCACGATTGGTTGATTAATTTGAAATTATGTCCTCTCATTGGTCAACTAATAGGTCCGCACCGGACCTGCAAAGAAATGTCTGGTAGTGAAAGGGTTAATATGTAATTTGTGTCGGACTAAAGTTTTGTCAAAAAGCGTAGTGGGGGCTGATCTTAGGGAGTGCCTCACGTGGATGGAGCGCACCGTGACCTGCCTTGCTCCTCCTCGCATGGCGGACGTAACTGTAGACTACCCGCATTACCGACATCGCGGCGTG